TTTGAATGGCACGCCTTAGTTTTGTTAAAGTCTCACAATATCGTGCCGCATTAATGGTTTCACCTCTGGGAAGAAATTCAGTAAGCAAAACGTATTTCCTATCCCAGAAGACAGTGCACATGATTTTTTGTGATAACATTGTCATTTTGAACTTTTGTTTTTTTGGGGAATGAGTGTGTCTCCACTCCATCGATTGTTGTTTCGATTCTGGTGTGAAATGACACACCCAAGTTTCATCACCTGTCACAATTTGGTTTAAAATGTTTTCTCTCTCATCACTGTACCGCATACATCAGTGAGCATTTTTGGAACCTATTGGGAACACAGTTTGCGATAATTCAAGCGGTCAGACACAATTTCGAACAAAACATTTGTGGAAATGCCTCTGAAAGAGTTGTCATTGTGAAGCGTCTGTTCTCATGAATTGCTTCATCAACTTTCCTTACCAAATCATCGGTGACAACAGAAGGCGACCACTCGAGCCTCGGCGTGGACATTTGTGTCGACCTGCATTAAACATCTTACCCACTATCTTACCATTCCATCACTTATCGCGTATTCACCGTAACTTCTGTCACTTTACGATAAATTCGGCCGGTTTAATATTCCTCGCGTTCAAAAATTTAATCACGGCACGAATCTCACAGTCAGCGGGAGAACTAATTATCTTAAACATTTTGAATGTGCACAGCAAACTGAAAACACAACATAGAGCACTCAAAATGGCGACAATTGAAAGTCAGTGAACAAGAAAGACTAGTGTGCATGTGCGGGACGCCTACCACAGCGCTGCGACGGTGCTAGAATGAAACGGTACTTAGTTTCCGAATACGCTACGTACTTCCTTTCTTGTGTTTGGGTTGCCGCGATTATTTTTGGTAGCACTGGCATCAACAACGGTTTGGCATTTTTTTTTTTTTTTTCTTTTTTTTTTCTACGGTCCTCAAAACGGAATAGTACCGAAATTTATTTTTTACTTATTTTATATTAATGTGATTATATTTTGTCCATGTGTAACAGAACTAATTACAAAATGCTTTAAGTATTTTCATTATATGACATATTTAGTCTTATTGATATGCTGCAATAACATTCTTTGGTAATATATGTCAGGTTTCTTAAAAAAAACATTAAAAAAAGAACAAACTTTTTAAATTGTGTGCCAACAGCTGCAGATGCCATTTTCTAGTCACCTTGTGCATCTAACAGCCTATCTTAGTAACTAATCAATTTTTACTGAGTTTTGATACGTGCATTATTTGTTGAGCAACTAACAGTTTAATGAATGTGCATAAACTGCTTGTTGGAAAAGTGAAAAGACAAAAATGAAGGAGTTGGAAGGACAACATGCCTATGTGAAATTTTATGTAAAACTGGAGAAAACTTTCATGGAAACATTCCATATGCTTAATTAAGCATGCAAAGATAACCGGATGGGACAAACACAGTGCTATGATTTGTTATAGCATTTTAAGGAGAGCAAAATGTTGAAGTTGGCACAATCTGGCCATCAAATCCTGACTGGAAAAATTAGCAGTTCCTTGCATCAATGCAAAAATTGTGCTGCAGTTGCTGAGAGATGACTTGAAGCAGAATTGAATGAAATCTGTCAGGAACTGCTTGCATATGCAAATGCAGATGACAACTTCCTCAACAACATTGAAACAGGAGATTAGATGTGGGTGTACGGATGGGATGTAGAAACAAAGAGGCAGTCATTGCAATGGGTAGAGAAAGGGTCTCCCTGACCAAAGAAAATACTGACAATTTGCTCAGACATCAAGGTGATTTGGGTTACATTTTCTGATTAGAAGAAAATTATACACTATGCATTTGTATCGCATAATAAGACAATCAGCAAGGAAGTCCACTAGAGAATTCTGGTATGATTGAGAGGTGAACTGTGGGGAAATCAGTTAAGCATGTTGCATCATGGCAGTGCTCCAGTTCACATATCGCATCTTATTACCAATTATCTGATGAAAAACTCTACTTTCATTTGGCACCACTCACCCTATTCTCTAGACTTGGCTCCAGTTTACTTTTTTCTCTTCCTCCAAATTAAAAAATATTGGGAAAATTTAGGAAACCATTTTGAAAACATGTGATTTCCTGCCCATAGAGGAAATTCAGGAAAATGTGATAAGAGTACTACATTCAGTTGAAAAAAGTGATTTCCAGCGGGTATTTCAAAAATGGAAGAAATGATGCCAATGCTGTATTGACACTAGAAGGGTGTACTTTGAAGAGAACAGTGGTTGAAAGTTTGCATAATGAGGAATAAAGCATGACCAACAGTTGTTGTGTCTTTTCTTTTAACGGTCTTTGTCTATATTTTTTATATGTGCAATGAAATCTGCATTCATGTCAGCTATAACTTCTTTTGCCAAGAACTACCATAAAAATATTGAAATATTTGCCAAAACTATAATATAAATTTAAAAATTAAAAAATTCATTTATGAAATCTTTAAGTATAATAATTATTTTCTTGGCCAACATGTTTGAAAAGAAAAAATTCAGTGAAATATCATAACCATACACAATAGAATTCTACCATAGCTTTTATAGATTTCTAGAGAGAATTAGTTTGCATTTTATTGTAGAATAATATATGTATACTATATATATATATATATATATTTTTTTTCAATAAGTTACTTTTTTTTACTACATTATCTTATGGTACATGATTTTCATTTTTCCGTCTTCATTTTTTAACAATTATTAGTTGTTTTTAATCTGTCTCTTCCTCAGTGTATAAAATGTTTAAATTTTTGAATATTATATATCAGAAACTCTTTAACCCTCTGAGCGGCCAGGATTTCTCTAAGAACGTGCAAATTTCCCCAAACTACTATGAGAACAAATTTTTTTAAAAAAATTTTTTTTATTTTAATGTAAAAACTCTCCTGGTATTTCATACCTGGATTTTTTTTCTTTTGATATATTGCTTTAATTTCTTTGACATTTTAATATGCACGTATATATATGTTCTTACAGACATCACAAAAAATATTCTAGACTTAGAGGGTAAAATCACTTCTTAAATGCAAAGTATGAATGTACATTTAATCATTAAACTTAACCATAGAATTTTCCTGAAACCTATTACATACCTTATTCTGTTGTACTGTCTAAAACTTTTGGTACTTATATGTTATAATAACTATTGCTAAAGAAAATTGGCAGCTCCATGGTTAATATTAAATTTGACCATCAAATGAAAACTAACTACAGAATAAATCAAATAAACTGGATAAAAAAAACTATACAATTATTCAACTAGATTATGCTTTGACAATAGTAGGCAATGCTTTTAGAAATGGTAGCTGAAAACTAAGAAACCAGTTTCTAACATTAATGGCTTTTTTATTCCTCTAACTTTTAACATTGTATCTCTAAATGCTTTCATCATTGATATAAAAAGTTGCCTTTCTTCATGATTTTTGCATATTCTGTTATAAAATAAAGTGCCTTTTTCTTGCAAGAAGATTGTGTATAACGTATTATTACCTTCAATAGTATCCAGCAGAATTTATCTGGCACTAGTGCATAAGAAATTAAAACTTATTCAAAGCAATATTAACACCAATTGTAGATATATATCTACCAGAAATGTTATGCAAAAGATAAATGGAAATGTAATATTTTTATCGTCTATGCATTTTCCTGTTGTATTCCCCCTCCCCTAAACATAGCACAATTTATGTTTCTTGGCAATTTTCTTTTACATATATCACTATAAGTTATAAGTACCAAAATTTAATTTCCTTAATAATTGTGTTTTTACTTTTCTTTATTTAGGTTTGTTTAATGATATGGAAACTGGAAGCAAATTCCCCTTTTAGTGATCTAAACTGTGAATATATTTCACCATGTACAATCAAAACCAGCAGCCTCGTTTGACCAGTTTTCTTCGAGCATTTAGTAATGTAGCTGCACCATGGTCAGGTGATCCATATGATGACTGTGAAGCGCTAATTCAGAAAAGAAAAGAAAAAAATGAAAGGAATGCGAGGTAAATTTAATTTTTGGATGGTTTCCGGAGCTTTTTATACTTGCTTGGGAAGTGCTGCACACTTACATTTTTTAGGAATTTTTCTACAGTGTTTGCTTTCATAAATTCCTAAGATTTTAGATTGTTTTTCAAATCATTGTAGAAAGCAAAAGAACAGGATCTTAGTCAGATAAAGCACAGTAATGTATGCTGAATGGAAACAAATATTATGATTGTGTAAAAGCATTTGGGTTGTTCGAATTAGTGTTGATATAAATAGTCAGACTTTGTCTCTTATGTTATTGGAAGAGGAAAAAAAAATGAGTGATAAGGTTTTAATTTCTGGTAAATTTAAAAATAACAATTCATATGAAGATAACATGAAATATACATTAACAAAAACATGAAATATTATCAATGTTTAGTTTTAAAATTAAAAGTACAAAGTTGATAAAAGTTTAATAAGTTACAATATACCTTAGCAAAAAAATAATCCTTCAATAAAGGGTAGTGCCTAAGTTTTTGCAGGACTGGACAATATTTTATGAAGTAGAAATGAGGATCATTGTTTTTCAAACCTTTTTGAAAAAGTGCACAATATGGTCACAGCTTTCTATCATCAGATTTTAATAAGCTTCTAGTAATTCTGTTTCATTATAATCATGAGATAGAATTTCTGTTAGTTAAAGAATTCTTTCAGAATATTTTTTCTGATAGAAATTTTTTTTATCTGCTGTCTACCTTATTTAATTTTAATTTTTTTTTTTTTTTTTTAGATTAGGTATTAAATTCAGAAGTTTTCCAGTTGAAATGTTTGAGAAATGAAAATTCAAGTTTCTAAGAAAGTTTTATTTCCATTGGGAAAAAAAAAAAAAAAAAAAAGAACAGGCATGAAATCACTGATTAGTCATCATTGTATTGAAGATTATAGGTCACAGATGATTCTCCATGTTGTGCATTTTTACAGGTTTCTATTACCTTTTAGAACACACTTAAATAAACAAAGAAACAAACAAACAAAAAAAACAAAAAAAAAAATCACACATCTGGGTACTATTCAATGTTTCCAGGGAAAAGAGATAGAAATTCAATTGTTTATTCATGTTTTTGACATAGTTATCAGGCACTGGTGACAGCAAAAATTAAAAAAAAAAAAAAAAAAAAAAAAAGCTTTGAGATTGTTATGATTAAAAGCATTAGTGCTAAAACTGTCGGAATATTTTTTTTTTTTTCCATTTTTGACGGTTTTGAAATACTGAGGTTCAACTGTATTTCTAAATTAATAAAGAGAAGATGACAATGAAAAAATAAGTCTTGTTTTTATGCTTCTTATACATCATACTTTTCTCTTTCAGATTGCATAATCTAGCAACAATAAAAAAATTCCTCATTGAAAGTTCATCTTTACCTCCAGCTGAAGTTAATGATCTGCTAACAGAACTAATGATTTTAGCTAAAGAAATTGGTAAATAGTTTTTTTTATTTATGATCTCTCACTAAAGTCTTTATTATAGTCATTCTGTTTTTTAATATGTGTTTAATTATGTTAAAAGTGATGTACTAAGCAAAAAACAAAGTAAAAAAGTTGTAATTTACAGGGTCCGTACGGTCCTTAAGAGTCCTTAAAAGTCCTTACATTTTTTGGAATCGATTTTTGGTCGTTAAAAGTCCTTAATTTTGGCCAAAATCAGCAGAAGGTCCTTAATTTTAATCATCTGAAATTTCTGTCTGTTTTTACGAGTACCATTGAGTGTAAATTAGCATTTTGGAGGAATATTTTTGGCGATTGACTGCCGTATATATCGTTATCTTTTGAATGGGTTCATGAGTTATAATTTGTTTCCATTTCTAATGTAATGATGGGAACTCGAGTTCTAACAAGAAGTGAAATATAAGCATTTCAAAATTTATTTTTTTAATAAAGAGCTCTTAAACAACTTTTTTTTTGGGGATGTGAATTCTTTTATTAAAACGGTTGAAAATTGGCGACTTTTCAACGTTTGGCGATTTTTAAGCTTAGTTTCTATAGAAATTTTAATTCCGAGATCTGAGGATTTTTCGATAATTTTTTTGTTAAAACATGTAACATTGATAAACTTCATTAAATAATGGTAATATATGAAATTATATTAAAAAAAAACATTAAAATAAAACTTTATTTTTCGGTTGTCATATTATAAAGTTTCGTTTTGGCCAACTTAGTATACAAATTTTGAATCTGAAAAAAAGCAAGGTATAATGCTTAAAGCACAATTTACAAACAGCTCTTAGCAAAAGCAAATTAGCTAGTAATAGTTAAAAAATGTCTTGTTTTTAATTTTTCTAGTAAGAGTTTTTCCCATGTAATTGTCTAAAATATTCAAAATTCTCAGAATGTGCATCAGTTTTCTCTATAAAATGAATTTTATACTTTTTTTCCTCTTTTTTTTTTTCGAAAATTATTTCTGACTTTTTGCTGTTACAGAAATGGTAGGGATAATTTTTCTTTAACATTTTAGACATTGCAGCTTGGAAAGTTTAGAAGGATTTCAAGGTAAGATTTATAGACCCACGAATCTAAAAGATTCGAGAAATATGTGACAAAAGGAAAAATGTCTCCATGGTATCAACACATAATGGATGTATTTTACAGAAAGTTTGCAAAAATTCGTACTTTTTGGAGAGTAATGAATGAAGTTTTGATGTTTTACTTCTGATACTAAAATCTTTAACTGTTTATCTTCCCTTTATTTTCTCTATTTTCACTAGACACAACATGGAAAATATCAAAAATGCTTCTAATCTTATAACATGGGCAGCCATTATAGAAAAGATTTTTTTTATTAATAAAGAAATTGGAAACTTAAATTTAAAAGATTCATCTAATTTGTCTTAATGCATCATAAACAGAGCTAGCACTAAACATTTTCTTACCTGATGCAATCTCTGTCGATCCTAAATCCTGCTGCCTAGTGCCTTTCTTAATTCTGTTTCCAATGCCTGCTCTAAATTTTAAAAGTTTTGCCATTTTTATTTCTAGATTTTGTTGCTCAGTGTGTCACAAAATTCTGCCACACTAGCTTTGTAACCGGCCCTTACCATATATATTTCATATTTCTTCTGAACGTTTATATGCTAAAGAAATAAAATTAGCCGCTTTTTCTGTACATTCTAAATGCATTTAGTGTTTTTTGAATAACAGAAATCTTTAATTAAATCCAAAAATTCTAAAATGAAAAGGAAACGTGTTGAAGAACTGAATAAATAAAGAAAAATTATCTTCAAGATAGTGCAGCTATTATTATGTAAATTACCCAATTATTTCTGATTTTTAAGCCTTACTATAATTTTCATTTCTATTTCCTCATGGATAGAGTTACTGAGCCAGATTAAATTAAAAATTAAATGTATAATCTTGACCACTAGTCCACATTATAGTTTGAATTTGACTGTTCTTGTTTAAATATGTCACCGTGAGCTGTAATTGATTTTGTTAGCATCAGAACAACCTTTATGTTCTAAGTTTTTTTTAATAAGAGGTGATTTAAACCTTTGCTGATATTGTAGTTAATTTTGACATAGCGATAATGGCTTCATGTCTGTTGGGGGTTTTGGACTATTTAACTTTTATGAGATCAATTAAACCCTCATAGTTCCATTGTGGAGAGGTTGACAAGTTAGGAGATAAAGCACGCAGAAACTAGCCAGAGAATTGGTTTGCATATTGAGGCAAATCTCTAATTGTTAGACAAGATTTTAAAGGAAGGAAAAATCAATATAAACTAGCCAAAATGTCGTTAAGAATCTGTGTCAAAATTACATATTTTAAACTGTGAAATTTTATTAATTTAATAGGGTTTTTTAACAAATATTGTTAAAAATAAAATTTCATAGTGATCATGTATATCCATAATGACTAAGGTTATCAAACTACTAATGTAATTATTTATAACTAAAACTGCTCACCCTTAAAAATTATCTCTACGTATTGAGTATTAACATTATTGAGTAATGAAAGGCAATAAGAGATTCAGTCTTATTGCTTTCATTAATACTCACTGTGGTCACAAGGTAAAATATAAAAATGTAAAAATTCAAGTTAAACTTATTCTTTGTATCTACTGAGACTTAAAATAATACAAAACAACTTATCACCTCTGGTGCTTTAATGGCTTATTGGAACCTTAAAGTATATTAACTGGGTTACAACCCCCCGGAACTGTACACGAAGCTATGACACTAATTGCATCAAACAGAGCCTAAATAACTTCCAACACTTGCCAACTGTGCAGGCAAGCCTCCACATTTATTCAACATCAAGTCTGTTCACTGCGACAACTCAATGACAGAGCAAGATTGACCACTACAACCGGTTTTCTGTCTCTTGTGCTGCTAGACTCCGAAGGTGTAGGGTGCTGTGCTTCTGTCCGTCTCACCGCCGATGATGCGTGCCTGCAATTTGTTCTTTTTGTGCCTTTTGATGACCATCTTCAATATAGTTTCAAGAGAATGCATTTTGTCAAAAAAATAATAGTAAGTGATATGAAGATTCAACTAAAATTGATCTAGATGCTGACTTCTGCGGTAAATGAATAATGTTTTATGACTTGAGACACTCTCGAAAGGAATTCCCGTGCACATGTTGCGTCTTAATGCTAGAATTGGCCTTTTGTTTCCACAAAAATATACTGGAATAATAATTCAAGTCAAAGTCCTTTGCTATAAAAATTGAATTTTGTTATCATGTAACATTGTGTAACGAAAATGAACTGAGATTTTAGATGGACTTACGCATTTTCAGCACGAAAGGCTAGGACTCAAAATGGTTGGATTGATTCTTACTGCTGCAGTAGTTTGCCATCTGTTGTCTTCTGTCTGGATATGTTTTCCTGATTTATACTAGTATTAATTGAAAATTTCACGATGTCAGGATATAATAAATTTCTCGTAATTCACATTATTTGAAGTGTCATTCTTTGGGAGTAAGTTACTTTAATTCCATATTTCTTTTAGACCACACACTTCTATCATCACATTTGACACCCATTTATTATTACACCAACCATGCCTACATCAGGCCTTTCAGGTTTGTTCTAATCAGCAGGTCTCTCTCTAGACAAGCAGCAGCGGTGACAACATTCAGTCTTTTGTTATGAATGATGCTGATTATGATCTTATTTCTCATTTTAATGTATGCCGTTTGACATAAAATCTGCCTGCTATTTACTAAACCTCTAGACTGACCAAGTATGTGACAAAATGAGACAATAAAAAAAATTAACATAAAGCTAACTGTTAGTAAAATGTAATGTCACTTATCTTCTTTAAATATACAACTATTATAAGTGTCAAATATTTATGCTATTTGAAAAATGCTTTATTTTATTCTCAAAACTCATTAACAGTTATGATAATTAATTCATTTTAGTAATAATGTTAACTATTAGGGATCTATTTTATTTTGGATGGTTATTACAAATGTGAAATTCAGGCATAGATAATATTTTCAATTGAATTTATTCAGTTCCCATTTGCTCATAGGTCCTTAATTTTTTTCACTAATGGTCCTTAAAAGTACTTAATTTCTGTGTATAGAAATGTGTATCAACCCTGAATTTAATGTGGCAGTACTAACAGTGTAACTTGAATGTTAAATACTGCTGCATTAAATTATATTTTTTTGCTCTATTTTTGTTTAGTATATATAACAAATAATAATGCTAAAACTAAACCAAGGTAAAATTATAATTTATACAGGGCTTATTCCATCCTAAAAAATTCTTAATAGTCTGTATGTTTTTTGAAAACAGTTTTAATTCTTGAAAACATATAATTTTGGCTAAAATTTGCAAGTGGTCATTAATTTTGCTCATCTGACATTTCCATTCCTTTTTTGTGATTGCCATTCTGAGTGTGAACTAATATTTTATGTGACTGTAGAATTAAAACTACGCAGCTTGTACTGAAGCCATTGCAAACTGTTGTTGCAAACAATGATGTCCAAGATCAGGCAGCAGCTCAGAACAAAACTTTCAGTGTTTTCTATTTGTTGTTCACCCAGTTTTTCAAAGCAGATGTTATTAACAAGAATACTCTCTGTATTAAAAAAAGTTTCTTGGATTTTGACCTTTACCTTACAGTCGTGCTTCAACCTACTGTGACAAAGAAATTACTGTGCCTTCAAAAAAGTTGAAGATCTCATTCCCACTCACATTATTGGCAAATCCAGAAATTCTTTGAGGATATGGACAAAAGATATGATTTTTTAAAAGAAGGAACATTTTCTGAAAAAAATTTGCTAATATTTGAAGTCTAAATCTGGGGCAGTTTCATTTGGCCTCTTTTCGAGTGATGATTGTCCTTATAAACATTGTCCTCACAATTATGTTTTTTGAGTGCTTTTCAAATAACCACTTTACAAAATTAAAGTCTACAAAGCCAAAATAAATGGCTTCATAGCAGAAAGAAAAGGAAGTTGGAGGACAGACATGGTTTGATCAATCATGTATTTCTTTTTTTAGTGCAACTTTTAATACTTACTGTTATTTTCTATTTTAGTACTACATATTAAAAAAAAAAATTATTCAGTCATTTCTGGTGTGAAAACTATAATATTTTTTTTTTCTTGGATTTCAATTTTATTTCATCTGTCCTTTGTTGCAAGGGAGTTTCAAGTATGAAATTAACTGAAATCAAGGGAGAATTATCAAAACAGATTTAGTCAAAGAAACAGAAAGTTTGAAAAATGTACCCCCTCCCGAAAAAAAAAAAAAAAAAAAAGAAACTTAAGAAAAACAGTTTAGTGTCAAGCCAAAGGAATTGGGTAAGAAAGAAGCTAAAATGCAGTAATATGATGCTAAAAATGCATGATATACACTGGTGGCCACCGTAAATGCAACACCCTGAAGGAAGCATGCAAATAACATGAATTTTTTTACATGCATTAGCGGAGGTGAGATATGCAAATGATTAGAATTTCAACACAGATGCACATCACGCGCGCCTGTGGCGCCACTTCAAAGTGCGCTTGGAGTTTTTGCCGATTTCAAGTTCGGCAATTGTGTTTTTCTTGTGGTTTTTTTTTTCCAAAAATACGATCAATTATGCCTCATAGTAAACAGCGATCATCATTTGATCAAGTATCTGAGTTCGACAGAGGAAGGATAGTGGCCTACCAAGAGTGTGGATTATCTTTCAGGGAAATCAGTAGTCGTGTTGTATGAAACCAAACAACTGTAATGCAGATATGTGACCATTGAATGCAGGCGAGTACGACGGACCAACGTATTCGATCGCATCCACCTCAGTGTACCACTTTAGGTGATGACAGGAACATTGTTCGCATGGCAGTGACGGATCACTCAGTCACATCATGAACCATAGCACAGCACATTCAGTCTGTAACGCATCATCCAGTGTCTGCGTGTACCATTCAACACCGTTTACAGCAGAGTGGTCTGTCCGCAAGACGTCCATTGCTTCGTCTACCCTTGATGCAGAGGCCACAGAAGTCTCCGCCGCCAATGGTGCGATGAAAGAAGGATGTGGATGGCAGAATGGAATGGAATTGTCTTTACTGGTGAGTCACACTTCTGTCTGCAACACCACGATGGTTGGATTCGAGTCTGGAGACACCGTGGAGAGAGGATGCTGACAGCTGCATTATGCACCGCTGTACTGGTCCTGCATCGGGTATTTTGGTATGGGGCGGTATTGGATATCACTCTCGCACTCCTCTAATATGCATTGCCGGTACTTTAAACAGCCAGCGCTACATCTCCAAGGTGTTAGAGACAGTTGTCCTTCCTTACCTTCAGGGCTTGCCCACAGCCATATTTCAACAGGATAATGCGCGACCACACATGGCACGCATTGTTCAAGGGTTCTTCGTCAATCGCCAGATTGAATTGCTTCCCTGGCCGGCTCGCTCGCTCTTCGGATCTTTCGCCGATAGAAAACATGTGGTCCATGGTTGCTGAACAATTGACCCAGATTACATCCCAAGCTGCCACACCAGATCAACTTTGGCAACATGTGGAAGCTGCTTGGTCTGCTGTACCCTAAGAACACATCCAAAGTCTCTGAATCAATGCCAAGGCGTGTGGCAGCAGCGATCTCCAACAATGGCGGCTACTCTGGCTACTGATTCTGGAAGAAACCACACTTCACAGAAGTCTATAAATTTAATCATTTGATACTTGGTCAACATGTTAGCTACTAAATAAATTGTTGTGATATCTCTTGTCTTTTTTGGTGTTGCAATTCGGGTGGCCAGCAGTGTATTTTTATCTAAATGCTCCATTTGGGAAGGGTCGTGTATTTCTGCAGAGATTTCTTCTTCTTGCTTCAGCACCACTAGAAACAGGGGGAACCATCTAAAAAATCCTTTTGAAAAAGCAACGACCAGGGAAAAAATAACAATGCTGTTTTAAGGTTCATGACAATTATTTGCTGTTGAGGCAATTTTTCTGTTAGGCTTTTAAGTTCTAGCAAGATTTAGACTCTTGATTAATGCATGTCTGCTAACTTTCATGAAAAATTTATTTTACCTTCTAAATCTTTTTTAAAAATCTTCTAATTTTTGTTCTCACAAAGTTAACAGGTATTTTTTAGACTAAAATTTCAGAAAAAGCCATGTCAAGTTGAAAAACATATTAATAGTATTGATGCAGAACAGACATATGTTACAGTACAATTGCTGCAATCCTATTCAGAGTTCTTCTTCGAATGATTTTGGTTAGGACTGCTGGCCCTTTGGGGTTCACAAAGAGCATTAAGTAGTTTTGCTGCTTTGGAGCACTTCTTTCATGGGAGGATTCTTGACATTGTTTATGGTGCCATAAATAGAAAGGGCCTCTTTCTATTTTTGATCCCAATTGTCTTTCTCTTGATCTTATTTTTTTTTCTGTTTCCTTTGATTTTCCCTTCTTCTATTTTTGTGATTTTCGCTACTGAAAAGTATGAAAAATTGCAAAAATGATTCTGTTTTTGTTATTTGGACAGGATCTGTAAAAAGGAATTTCTCTGTTAATAAAGATACTAAAAACTGAGACCTTAAAAGATTCATCTTATGTATCTGAATACTTATTATATACCTTTTCATAAAGTCTTCTGGAGTTTCTCTCAATATTCAAATATATAAAAAAAAATAAATAAATAAAAAAATATAAATAAATAAGATTAGCAACTTTTGCACATTTTTTAAATTATTATTATTGAGAAAATTATCCATGAATTAAATTTTTTTAGCCTAACTCATTTTTAGCTAGCAAATGATATGTTGACTCAAAAGTTATTTTGTTGCATATAAAAATTAATTAAATTGTGCTTAATAATTCTAATCTAATGATTTAGTTTTTTTGCAAATATTAAATATATGTGCAACTTTATTTTAAAATTTTCTTTAAAAAATAGGTTTATTTCATTAATAATATTTATTTATTTACTTTTTCTTATTTTCAGCTGGTTCAGATTCAACATCTCAAATTATAGAAGGTACTGTTGTATACCTTATCGAATTATTTCGAGACTGTAACATGATAGGCCAGAAGCAATCACTTGAACTTCGTCGTACATTTGGAGTTTGCCCGAAAGAATCTATTTCCAAAGCATTTTCTATTTCTAAGAAACTCATTGAAAGTTTAAAAGATGATATACAAGAAACCTTCATCTACAGTGGTTTTCCTAAAAATGATGAAGGTTTGTTATCTGAAGAATTTGGTTCCAAGATTAAATTTGTTGATCTTCAGCCACTTGATGAAAGTTATTTCCGTGTTCCTTTGATGGACATTGAAGATGAAGAGAAAGAGGATGCTTTTAAAAAATTTAGCTTTAAATTTGAAGGTACATCAAATGTTATTAGGAAGGAGTCTGCACCAGTAAAAACTTCTGTTGTTCCATGCAAGAAATATGACCAACAGTGGTTAGAAATATCATTAAAAGATTCAGCAAGTGAAAATTTGTCTTCAGCTGAGCTAGCTTTATCTGTTTCACAGCTCTTAAAATCTGATAAATCCAATGAAGAGTTACAAAATGAAGTGAGTGAGTTTGCTTTCTGTGCTGACAAAATTAATATCAGAAACCTATTAAACTGACATATTACAGTGCTGTTACATGTTACAGGTTCATTGAGATCTTCTCAAATGACAACTCTGAATGAGTAGCAAGAAATGTAAAATTTATTATAATTAACAAAAGTACACACCCAGTTGCCAAAAGGGTGTGTTAAATTTTTTTTATACTGTCGCAGAGCTTGCAGTCAGTCTACCAGTCTGCTTTACACTCATGCCTACTGACCTCCCTTTTTTTTTGTCTTTTTAGCTTTATTATTAAACATAATTTTCTTTGCACTTATGCCATATGCAATTCCACAGCAAAATTAAAAAAAATTAAAAGCAGCATAGACGTATGCATTTAGAATCCCTGATGTAGTGATAGTGATAGTGACGGAGGACGTGGCCACCACCCCTTTACTATTAAGTTAATTAGCATATAGGGCCACGTCCGTCCTTATACAGAGTAAAGCCAGAGAGGCCACATGGGAGGCTTGCACAAGGCGCCCAAACCCAACGCCTGGACCATCCGGTTGGCAGTTCCGCGAACCAAATGCCACCGGGTAGACACCCGTCCAAAGTGCCCGGGTCCAGTGATTTTGAATCTTCAAGAATAGCATTGTACATGGCTAAACTAGGGCAGATATACATTAGTAGTTATTTACATGCTTCTGTTAATACATATTTTGCTGACATGCAATCCAGCACTGTTACATACATATACTTTCTAAATACCTACATGACATTTCCTTAATTTGCTTTGGAATAATAAGACAGAGCTAGTATATACACCTAGCACAATAAAGATAAAAATAATAATAATAATAATAACATACATTAGGACACGCTTGCCCACACTATATATACACATCGCAGACATACCTAGAGTACTTATGCTTGAATGATACTGATTTACATTGAAATTTGCTGACATACTGACCAGTTATATTTACACATGGCATAAGTCTGGACCCATGTCCATTAGCTTATCAATTATATGAGTAATTTTGTTGGTCTGGTGTCGCTGCTTGACCATAAATCTGTTGAATGCCTCCCTGTTCGTCTGCGGAAGTTTTCATGCACACATTTTACCCCCCATCTTATCTCAGTTTATCATATCAATGTTCTGTTTTCTTACTAAGATGGCTTTGCAAAACTTTATCTTTTTATTATTAGCATTTTTTGTGTTTACTTTATTTATTAAATATCACATTCTTAGCTCTTACATTCATTTCAGCAGCAAGATCACAAAATATTTAAAAATAGCATATGTTTACAATTTCCGATAGAACAGATTTGCTAGAGATAAAAGTTTTTATTCCATACAGTGTTGCCATTGCTTGTTTTGGAATTTTTGAGTGTGTTAATCACTTTTAAGTTTTTCAAAGTATGAAATAGATAATAAAACAAATTCAAAATTTCAAAATTTGGGCTTTCAGGTGACCATGTTCAGATAGAGGACTATGTTATTCAGAACTGGATGCCTCTAGGTAATAGTTTTTTTCCATAGTGCAAGAAACATTCATACGTTCATGCAGATTCTTCATTATTTAATTTCTTTAAATATAATATAGGGCAATAATATTCGGTGGCAACAATTTGAAAAGTGATACATCGTTTATAGTAACTCAACGCAAAAAGTCATTTCAAGATTAATATTCCATTCTGGACTAATGTTCCTTTAGGGCTAATAACAGCTGTAAAGAACTCAAGAACAATGATTAGAATACAATGACCTCTTAACTCTGAGAAACATCATAGATTACCATTATTGCTTACAGAGTAAACTGATATATCAAGTGATTTCAAAAACACAGTCTGGTTAATACTGTTTAAACTATAGTCTGTCTGAATTCACACAGATCTGACGAACTACTGACTGACTGCAAGTTATCGGAATTATCTTTAAATGGTTTTGTCTAGCTTCTTGGAATCAGGAAATATCACTTCTAGTTTCAAAAATGCATCTTCCCAAAACTTCAAAAAGATTTCCAGCCTGGTGACTAAAGTGTCTATTAAGGCACATCAGAAGAATTTCTGCCTATATCTAAAGTTCTACTTGAGTATTTTCATAATTTCAGCTTTTGGAAACAAAAGAACAAAATCTGTACTTCTATATAACAGGCATAGTCAAACTGCAGTTTCCCCCCCTTAACTGCAGCTTTTGAGCATATGAGTCTTTTTTGCTTAAGTGCGACTTACTTGCATTAAACGATAGTTTTATTTATGAAATACAGTTTACTTCTGATGTATTTCTTTTCTAATTTAACTTTTTAAATTACATGTGCATAATAATTTAATGAATTATTTAAATGCCCACTTCAGAGCAGTTTAAAAAAATACAAATAGGGTTAAACCTTACTTTAAAACACCCAGTTTATAGCGAACCTTTGCATGTAACAGCATGAATATTTTAGTTTTATCCAACTTCCTATAATGTTATTTTATATGTTTATAGTGAACCTCTAAAAGTATGAAAACCTGATATAATGGACTTATATCTATCTTCAATTAAAACTTTTTTGTATTTTCCAGAATTTCTGGAAGTAGAAAATTACTTATCCTTAAAATCATTCATGTTTAGCCTATTAAGACAGTTTAAAACAGCTTTACATTGCTGTCTTTGTAGCCTCATCCTTAGCTTTCTTCATAGTCTAAATAAAAGCTATTTGTTACAGATGTAATATCTAATTCAGTACTTACATACTACCACAATTACTTTGGTGCAATTTGGTGATTTTTTACTGATTAAAAGATAAAAGTTACATAGGGGATGCAAGTGGGTGGTTTAAGATTTCCAAACTGTCTATTTTTATTGATATGGGGGAAAAAAAAAAAAAAACATACTTTAGCATTTAGAAATACAAATTTGTATTATTAAATAAGGATTATGTGATGTATTAAAAAAACAGAATATTTACACAGCAATCTGTTTTTGGTTAGAAAAACATTAGAGACGTTAGAGAATTGCAGTGATTTGGCTTATTGAAACCTTGGCAGCAATAGCAATTGAGGAAATGCATTTCCCAATTTTCCTGTTAGAAAATTTTCAGCAAAATTCTGTATTCTTGTAGAAATTTCATAACAGTTTCTTCCATTGCTTGCAAATTCCACAAGCTCATATTTTAAAGTTAAGACAAAAAATATCACATTATAAAAATTATAGAAACCTTTTGGACTTGGAATGCATAAAAAAAAATTACAAAATGGCATTTTTTTTAAACTGAAAGATTGTTATGAGGGTATTTGCTGGAAGAATAGCTATGTGCATGGATGCCAGAGTTTGGCACATTCTGAAAATTTGTCAAATTCTACTAAGGTGGTTGCACTAAAGCGTAAATATCTCCAATTCTTAAAAAATTTGGGAACACAATAGTTATACCTTAAGACAGCAGTTTTGCAGGCTGGCTGCATGTCCCCTTTTCCCCAAAGGAATATTACACAGCCTGTGAACACATTTCCTGTAAATTAATTAGCATTAGTATGAGAACAATTTGAAGGAAAAGTTTGATATTTTAATAACTTGGAGCCAATTTTATATTATTTTCATTATCAATGAAATGAAGGTGAGGAATGCCCCAGAAAATCTACAATTAGAGGCAATTAATTTACTCTGTGATGTAAATCTTATTAAAAGATTTAAATCTTATTAAAGATTTTGTTCACTTTTATTGGCACTTGTTGAAAGATAAATATTGTCAGTTATGAATTTTTGTGATAAGAATAATTGCTTTGTTTAGAGTGCTTTTATATGAGAAAATGTTTTTCCTGAATTTGAAAAAAAGTGTAAGAAAAGAATCAAATTCACCAGCGAGCATCTGCAATTCATGAGATAGTTTCTAATAATTTTTCTCCAAGATTACGAACTTTATTAAAATTAAAACCCCATGAGTTGTTGTAGTTAGTAGTATTAAGAAATAAAGAAGTTTGGTTAATTTTAATATTAAAATAAATGACAGTCTGAAAATTTAATGTTTAGTTGTCAGTATATTTTAATTAAAAATTTTAACTAACAGAAACTTCTTACAGATCCCAAACTTTTGATTTCAAACCAAAAATAAGTATGAATTTTAATTTTGTTCAATGATTATTATTACATTCTGTGTATGTTTTAAAAAGTATTTAGTAAGTAAAACTTCAAATTTAGTTAAAAACACTTTGTTCTGTTAAGAAAAACCTTCTAATATTGTCAAAAAAAAAAAAAAAATGTTTATTCCACCTCTAGAGTGCTTTCAGATAATGCATATAGCCTGCACACAGTTTCAGTTTGAGTTTGCTGCCCTTGGAGATCTTATTGTATCAAAAAAAAAAAAAAAAATAATCATTCATAATTACAAATACTAAATCACTAAAATTGCAACACCATGAAGGAAAGCAAATAAAAAAAAAGTATTTGTTGAAAGTAAACAGTATGGCAGGAAGATAAAATGATTAAATTTGTAAGCGGTTTGGGGGTTTACTGTGGTGTGAAATTAGTAGAAACAGCTGCCACCCTTGGCATCTAAAACAGCCCTTACCTGGTTAAGCATGGAGTCGAACTAGACTTAAATGACAGAAACAGGCAACTTATTCCATGCTGCTTTAAGTCTTTGCCACACTTTATCAACCTTATTAGCTGGAGACGGGTGGCGGAACAGTCTCAGCAACCCATGACCAGATGTTTTCAATGGGTGACAGATCTGGAAACTGTGCAGGCCAGGTCAGCAGTCGAATACCCTGTGTATTGAGGAAAATCAGATCACCACGTGCAGTGTGTGGTTTTGCATTATCTTTTTGGAAGAAGGCTTTTGGCTGGCCTCGAAGATAGAGCACAACCACTGGACATAAGATGTCAGAAATGTACCGATCTGCATTTAAATTACCGTCGATCTGAACTAGAGATGTGCATGGCGTGCACCCAATGGCTGCCCAAACCATTACTCCAGGTGCAGGGCCCCTATGCTATTCAATATCAATTGAATGCAAGCAGGTGATGTGCAGTCTCC